ACTTTCATTTTCACATAATACTTCAATAAAATTACACAACACTTGTTCCTCTAATGCACACATACCACTCTCCTCTCCACTCAAATTTGAGTTACTGCTTGTACAGTGTGCTAGCCTTCCTTTTCTTCTTCTGATTTTCATTTTTACTCCCTACCTGTTTTCCCTTTCCACCTTTCTCATCTCATCCTCTTCCATCTCCTTCTTCCATCTCCGGTCCAGTCACAGTGCAGCCGTGCCAAACCACTATCTATCATTGTCTCATCTTCATCCGCAGGCTCTGTTCTTCACCACAACGATAACACTAAATTCAAACATTAAATACTAATTTATGTCTCCCTATGTTAATCTTGTGCAAAAACACACAAAATAACACTTAATTTCAAAATGTATTTTCCTTATATAGTCTGTTGCAAAGCATGCTGGTAACTAGAAAACTTAATCATTTTAAGTTCAGCTTACTACAAAGAGATTCTGAGTTCACAGATGTTTTTTCAATTAAGTCCAATGAACTTTATTATTTGAGTGAAATTAACTCAAGTGGTTTGAGTTGATGCTGAAAAGCCCTTGTGCTGAATTTATTTTCTTTTATGATTTGAGTTGTGAATAAAGACTTTGGAGTTTGCACAGCCACTCTCGGACCCTGTCTCCTTTTCCTGAACCCTTTAAACCAGAGGTCTACAACCCTGCTCCTGGGGACCCACTGCAAAGTTCAGCTCCAACCCTAATCAAACACACCTGTTTAACCACACTCTGCTTTAAACTGACTTTGTCACATGCATGTAATGCAATTTTTGTCTTAATTTCTAGATATTTTATATGTATTAATATATAGCCATACATGGTCAATGCATATATTGCAGTACATTGAAAATTATAAGCATAGTTTCCCATATGGAAATGTATTATGTAAAATATCACATTATATTTTGCAGTATTTTCCCATATATATTTGTTTTTAGTAAGGGTAGTTTCTAATATATGAAAATGTATAATGTAATATATTGCATTATATTTTGCAGTATATTTCCATATATTTTTGTTTTGTAAGGGGAGAAGGAAACATTAGCAGATACGACCACATTCTGAAGCCTGTAAGGAAAGAGTGAATGAATTTAAGTGTCTCTGCACCCTTCTCCATCTCTCCAAAGGGAAATTTCGCAGACTACAGAGACAAAGGTTGCAGGTGAAAAAGCCAACTGTCCTCAGATAAGTCAGACCATTTCTTGATATACCTGATGGCAGTGCTGAGAAAATCTTTGAAAACCCCTTATTGGCAGTGTTTGAATCAGATGGGGGAGCACTGGAGCTTTAGTTTTGTCAATATTCATAGAATTTCATCTCTCCTCTGAATCAACTTGTTCATGAAAGACACCATGATGAAATATCAAGAGATGCTTGTCACCTTTGTCAAGATACTTCTTCAATAAAATGGGAGAAGATAAACCTCAACATACCCTTCCTCTTGTACTTCCTCTAGCTCTTTTGCATTCATGTTCAGGTTCAGCAAAATCCTCAAGTGCCTTGGACAGACCAAGACTAATCAAGTAGGACTTGGGAGCAGTCCAGTTTTGCATGAGGTGAGTGGTTGCAGGGCTCAGAAACAACCATCTGGTCACAACATGACACCAAAACTAATGGAAATCAACATCACAAATCTCACAAAATTCTTTACGTTTTTCTCTTCTTTTTGCAGAGCTTGCGAAAAAATGCAAAGATTTTGAGAACAATGTTCTCTACAGCAACTGAAAACTAGTAGATGTTTTACTGTATTGTGGACAATGTGAGCATGATAGCTGCCTGTTAGTGCAGTAGGTAGCTGTTCTTTCTATTCAGCTTTGTCTGAACTGTGTTGCATTACAGTACTGTAAGTGACAGTTGTTTAAGACTGTGCTCTATACACACAATGCTATCAACAGACTCATCAGAATTCTCCACAAAGTCAATAATTTTTTTAGGTTACTCCACTCTCCGCTGCTCTACCACTACCTTGCAGAGACCTGCACATTTATATACACTTCTCTAATAGTCTCTTTAATCTAGTCTATGTAGCCTATACAGGACAAATTGGGTTTAATATAGAACACAACTTTAATGTCTTAAATATGGGACAATTCTGCATTATACAGACACAAGCCAACAGTAATAGTCTCAGAATAGTCTCGGAAAATCCAGATGGTTTCTGTTTGGATTCTATTGTATTGTATTATAATTTGATATATAAGATTTACCCAAACTTTTCACAATTATGTTAAAATTTTGTCTGAGCGGACAGGGAGGATTGTAACATGACTTCCCTCCTTTGTTAATACAGCACACACAAAAGCTGAACAAAACTGCTGTAGTGCTTACATACATGCAGTCTGATGCTGTTGTTTTGATTTTATGTATTTCTTCAATATTTTTTTCAACTTGCTTTAAAATGCAATGGGGTAGAGTTAGGAAAGGGGTTGATATAAAGGTAATCAAAAACAATTAAATGTGAGTAGCAAATCAATTTCACAGACAACTTTTCTAAACGGGGTCAATAAAATGATTTTACTTAAGCACCAGACCTTAACCAATTTTTAAAAATATAACAGACTTGATGATAGATTTTATATTGAGAACCTTATAGCTGATTACAGCCATGTCTGTGATGTTAAAGTTTAATTTTTAAGTTATAATTTTTTTTTCAGTTGTGTTATAACACCATTTTTTACTTTAACAATTGTAACTTTTACATATAAAAGAAATGTAATACATACATTATAAATAAGAGAACAGTAGTTATATCACCTTTTTGGAAAAGATCATGAAGGATATAATTAGACAATCAGATTGTCACAACCACATGGACTTTCTTTGTGTTTTCACCGTGGATTTATTAAAGACTTGTCTTCATCTCGTCTTTGTGTGTGTTTAT